TCTCCTTGCTGTGTGTTACTATTTGATTTAATGTTCTTTCAAGAAATGACACTCATCTTCTGTAAGTGGATCTTCAAAAAGGAGGACTGTGAGGTTCTGTGGGTTTGGATAAAGGGAGATCATCTGTGCTGCAGGAGGATTCCTCCCCATATGTGAGCAGATTTACAGGGAAAACAGAATTCTGTAGAGAGACCATTTTACTAAGGTAAAAAATGTAATTGATTTCAAGGCTGGCCAACAGGATTTAATCATGAATCTTGGCTTTCGCTAGCCTTCTGGAAGCCCATTAACTTGGGCTATCAGTGTCTGCAGTGACTGGTCAAATCAGTGCTGCCTTGTGGGATTAGAGAGTGCCTGACTTGCAGAACACCGACCTAATCTGTGCTTCTGTGCACTCTGTTTAATTTGCTTGAATAAACTGGACAAATCAAATAGCTACTACAATACATTAAAGGGAAGTGACAGATTTTTCARTCATTATTGGTTTATCTCTACAGTTACCAAAGTCTGCCCGTTTTCTGCTGACCAGTGAAGCAATAGACTTTATTTTTAGCATGAACTGAAGAGGAGAAACCTTAGGTTAAATGTGGGAAAGCTGAAGCAAGCCCGGGAGGCTGAAGAGCRCATTCCTGCAGTGGCTGCAACAGCAGCCTGGGGACTGTGTGTGCAAAAGGGACAAGAGTCCCTCGCAGCCCATGCGGGGCTGCAGTGGGTCAGCAGCTCTGTGGCCACCAGCMYGTGCCCTTAGAACCACAGAGTGGTTGAGGTTGGAAGAGACCTCTAGAGATCATCTACTCCAACCCTGTTGCTCMTGCAGGGACACCTAGAGCACCTCTCCTGTGGGTCTGTGCATGGTGCCAAGGCTGGCAGGTGACAGGCCTCTGTGACTTGCTTGTTGTCAGATCACTGTAAGGAGGAGATGTTTCCAACACAGTTGTTATTCAAGAATGTATCTGTTCTGATGCAAAAGGACAAAGCAGGTGAATCTTTTCTTAAGAAAGAGGAAGCCAAGACAGCCTGTAGGAATTGATACAGCCCAAACCTTGTGTGAATGAGGGATTTTTTTCTGCTGGCCAAGGTCTTGGTATTTTGCTGCAACTTCTCCTGTTGTAACCAACAGGAGTTTGCTTTTTTTTATGAAACATGAACATTACTGATGCAGTTATGATACGTCCTCTGTCAGTTATTTGGATAGTAAATTCAGTTTATTTTACACTGTCCTCCCTTTCTCATTTCTGATGTGACAGATTGGTGTTAACAATGTATAGTTGCGTAGCAGAGGTTGTCACAGGGAAGTGAGTAGTTTTGGCAGCTGAGTAAAGAGTGTTTGGAAGGTATCAGTGYTGGGAGCGGAGCGGGAGATGATTTGGAAGTTGGGAGCAAGCATGTTGATGTTTCTGCCATCAACACTGAAGAAGCAAACAATATAGTTTTAAGTTGCTGTGCAACTGAAATTCATGGGTAGTTCACACTATTGCTATTGTTCTGGCTGTCAGCAATCCTATAGAAATTATCTGGAATGGGTTTTTATGAGTAGTATCTTCATTATCTCCGTGACTGCAAGAATACAGATAGAATTTGTCAGTTTTCTCATGTGGGGAGTCATGAAGTACATGTGCTGTAACTCTTAAAAACAATATTGGTAAAATGTTCCTTGTAGCAGGAGAGCCTACTGTGCAAGAGTAAAAATGAGCTCCAGCAGTAACAGAAAGAGCTGAGAGTTATTTTATCTATGTACTGTACTGCTTCAGATGCACCGGCAAGGTGCTTCAGAAGCTAGGTTGGGTTGGCTGTTTTTCAGTAAGTATTTGTGTTTGAAAAGAGTCTGGTGCAAATACCAGATTCCTTTACCGCTTGAGATTGAGCGTTTGACTTGTGGTCATTTCTGTGAACCTGTTCCCCACATCTGGAGAACAAGGAGGCAATCTGGTCGGGGAGTTGGCAAGTCAGATGTCATCGTGGCAAGGCGGTCGCTGAAGACAGACTTGCAGACCTGATTCTAGGAGCAGATGGGGAAAGGCACTTAGTGAAGAAAATCTGTTACTGTAACTGAAGGCTGTTTCAGGAGCATACATTAATCCTCGCTTTAGGTGGAATAAAGCTCCTGAATAACCAATAGGAGTTGGCTGGCAAGATGGTCTTTTACAGATGTATATGCTAATGTAAATGTCCTAATGCAAATTAAAGTACTCAAGAACATTATGTGGATTTGGGAAAATCCCTAAAATTTTAATTCCATATGCAAAATATTATTTTGGCAGCAGATGACAGAAATAATCCTGCTCCCAGATGTTTCATACTATTGACATTGAAACTAGTTGTACGGTCTTCTTTGAGACAGCTCTAAAACTTCACAAAAGCTTCTTGGAATATGAAGCAACTTGAATATGAGTGCAGTGCAGAACCATGTGTGAACTTCTAAGACCATGCAGTCTTCTGGGGAAATACTGTGGGGACCAGTTTTCACCAAGTTTTAAAACACATCCATTAGAGAAGATGGAATGGAGGAAAACTTAGCCTTGGAATTGAGGGAAGGAGAGGTAACCTGTAGCTTTTGTATATATGTCTGCCGTGGCATTTTTTACTGTACACTTGCATTTTGGGGCCGTACTCTGATAGCTGGCTGGGCCACACTGTAGTTTTTCAGTCCGCAGAGCATTTCTGGAGCATTAAGACTCTTGTAATTCCTTTAAGAGGAAGAAAAGTGGAGAATAAACTCCTCTYACCACATTTGGTTACATCTTTATTCTGTTAGCAAGTTTAAATGTAGTTAAACTTATTTCAATGTAAATCATGATATGCTGAACAAAAATGTGTGGTAAAGTACATCATTTTTACTTGGGAGTAATTTTAAATAGGCAAGTCAGTGTTTATTTTTATTGACTAATGTTTCAGTTTAAATTGACATGTAAATTGAATGCTGTAGGAATTGGGTTTATTGTTCCTCAGGTTGATTCTTTGTGGATGCCATTAGGAAGAGAAGTGTGCAGGTCTTGTCGCTGTGCTGTGTGAGGAGAGGCTTTGCTGAGGGCGGGGAAGTTTCCACACGGCGTTGAAAAACCTTAGATCAGTTTTCAAATGCGTCATTGCAAATTTTTAGGTGGTATCTTTATGATATCTGAAGATCCTTATCCCTTCAGGTCGAACACGCTCRCAAATGGGACATTTTTGTCCTAAAATTGCTATAATACAAACGAGGCCTGTATTAAAAATTTGAATATCTCCTATTTAAAAAAAAAAAGCAATGGGAAGGTGAGAATGAAAGCAGCTTGTTCCAGTTTTCCAATTATATATAATAGGGAGGAGAAAGGATAGCGGGGAACTATTCAGTAAGGCACAAAGCAGCGGCTTAAGTACCGGAGCATGCAGCTGCACTAATAATGTAGGTGAACTTGTGTAGTGAACACTGAACACGAGGAGAACCTCAAACATTTTTGACTCCTCTTCCTCCATCCTCTTGCACGGGAGGAGGGAGGGCTCCCACCTCGTGGTGGTTCCCTGAGGGTGGGGGGCCGGTGTTGCCCTCCTGCCTTGAGTCTCTTCAGTCCCTGTCGCGCCTGGGCGGGGCTCCGCCCCCTGGCGCCAACGGAAAAAAACGGTCGCGCCTGGGCGGGGCTCCGCCCCCTGGCGCCAACGGAAAAAAACGGTCGCGCCTGGGCGGGGCTATGGCCTCCTCCGCCCCGCGGTGTTCGAGGGCTCCCCGCGAGCTGGTTCTGTTGGCTACCTCGAGGAGGACGCGGATCTTCCATGCTGACCTTGGGCTCTGTGGCCGTGGGCAGTATAGGGCAGCGTGGCTTCCATGTCACTTGGCTTCTTCTCCTGTTGGCAACTCTTTGTGTTGTGCCAAGGGGCAACACCACAAACCTGAGGTGTTGGTGGGGCACCCCAGACCTCYAGATGGATGGGTTGTGTGTAATCAGGACCATCAAACACTTAGTGCTGCGTTTGCCTGCTGTCTGAAGGGAGCATGACATGGTTGCTCAGGCGGATTTAGAGGCTGCCTCATATGTCAGCAGCTCCAGAGAGTGATGGATGTGTGAGTCGCTATCGAGTCGGCGAATGGCTGCGGTCCTGCAGGGAGCTGGAGCGGAGGAAAAGGCTTCGGCCAAAGGGGCAGCACTGTAGAGTGAGCCCTGCAGTCCCCTAATATGCCCCTAGCACAGGAAAGGGGAAGGTCAAATTCAACCAGGCAAAAAATGTTAGTGAGCAGCTTCCATCATTAAGTGAGTGCAGAGCACGTCCTTTTTGGAAGAGAAATAGAGACGAAAAAGAGGAATCTGCTATCCACACAGGCAAGAAGTGCAGCATAGATGGCGTTTGATACCCTGCCCATGCTGTGAGGTCCCTGGCGCGTTGCAGGTCTCTGAACTCCTGGATCGCTTTTTGTGTCCTCGAACACCAGTCTTGAGATGTTGAGGGAAGTAAGCATCCTGATTTGGCGCTCCCATCTGGAATTCCGAAGGTGATGTTTGCCTTTAAAAGTGCCATTGCACCAATATCTTGGAACCTCAAAATCTGAAGGCAGGTATTTTTCCCTTTTCTGAACCAAATGTTTTCAGAGCGGGAGAGGAAATAAACCATCTCTCAAAGTTCACGACATGGTTCTACTGGATGATTGCAACCTTCATGATAAACAAATCTCTCCTGGAACCATAGTAATTAATTTGCATGGCTTGTTGAAATGTACTGCTCAAAATTAAGTGCCTTTTCATTTTGGATGTTGTGACTGGCCTTAGTGGTTTCAGGAAGACCCTCTTTAAGTACCCCATGCCATAATATGGCAGCTGTGCCAGAAAATGGCCAAGTCTAATGAAAGGAAAGGGAGAGATGAGGGCCCACGGGTGGTGGTGACACCATCACCTGGACCATCACCTCAGTGACAGACTTCAAATGCCTAATCTCACTCACAGCTCTTCTAAGCTACTTGGATTCATCTGAACAGTGTTTTACAGTAAATGCCTGTTTTTTTTTCCCTGCTACGGGCTAAATCCTACCCAAAGGCAACTGTAGAAGAGTGAAGAGGAGATTTTCTCTGTAGGAAGACTTCTGCTAAAAATGGAAATTCTCCCTGTGAACCAGTATGCCCTGTATCTGTGACCRAATTTCTCCAGGAGTGCCAAGGACTTTAGCATGGTGAGTACAGTTATTATAGGCAAGATATAAAAGATATAAAAGAACAAAGCTTGGCAATCAAATCAGACATTGGAAGCAACATAGAGTGCCTCTTATGAGTATTGTTTTATATGGTAAATGTTTTTCTGGTTTGCTTCTGAGCTAAGTATGTGTGTTGCAAATGGTGAAAATGCTTCCATKGTGCATTGGGGAGGGGAACAGCACATTGTGGTGCACAGCCTAGCCAAGTTAATGTCACACACACACACATTTGTGTGTTGTTTTTTTTGTTTTGTTTTTGTGTTTTCCCCTTCCTCTGGGATCTAGCATGCCCTGGAGTTACCCTCATTTGTGTACTGTGTGTATGTCATATGGCAGCACATCCTGCAAAAAGCTTTCCCTGGCTGCCTGCTTGGATTGGGGGCGTGAAGGGGTGAGGCAGGAGGAGTATGCATTTTCCCTCCCTTGTTTCATTGCAGCAGTGCACAGCACCTGTCAGGTAGGCTTTTTTTATTTATTTAGAGTAGGTTGTAGTTTACAGTGTGCTACAGCTTGGTGGGGTTAGCAGAGGTTTTTGAAGCACAGTGTTAAACAGTGTACTGACACTAATGCTGATTTTACTAGTCTTTGCTTTTATGAGTATAGAGAATATCACTGATATCTAAAACCAAGTGGATTATTTGTTAACGGTTTAGGATGTTCACCAGCAATAAAATTAAAATTTAAAGGGAGGAAAAAAAATGTTCTTACAGTAGCTGCTATAAGGGTGGGCTAGATATAAGGAGTTTGAGTCAGACTGAATCTACTCCAAAGGTTTTCTTCACTCCTATGGAAAAACTTAACATAATACCATGTTGAACATTTGGAAATATAATTCMATTTAAAAAGTAAAATCTGAATGGATAACTGAAACTCTTGAACTGTATCAACATTCAGTTCTGCATGCCTAATGTAATATGCAGTTAGATGGTTTTTATTTTAGAGAGATAGAGGTTACAAAATACTAGATGTCTTTTATGGAACATTGTTAGATTAGAAAACTGGTTGAAGATTCTTAATGACATTTTGTAAAGTCCTTGCTCCTGCTCTAAGTTAAAGAGGAAACGTTGTTTGTTCTACTCTCTGTATGATCCCAGGGTGCTTGATAAGTACTGCCCTTAGGTACTTTGAGGCTAACATGCTGAACCTATATAAATAATGCTTTTACTGCTCAGTTAAACCCCTCTTTAATTATGACAAGACACAAGTCTCTCCTTAGAATAGGAAGCTAACTCGAGCCCTAAGCCTCATTTTGACCTATAACAATACTTTGCACTTCTGTGGAGCTTTTCATAAGAGGATCTCCGCATGCTTGACAATCATTAACAAATTTCGCCTGCCAGCTTCCCTGTGAGGTAGGTAAGTACTGTATTAGCATTCGTCTTCTAAAGATGGAGAAACTGAGAGACATTATTATTTTTGCTTTATTGCCTGAAAAGGCACTTTGCCGAACATACAGAAGACATGTCTGCCCAGAGGAGGTTACAGCCTAAATAAAGACATGACTTAACAAATGGATACAAGAGAACAAAAGGGGTTGGGGTGAAAGAAAGGGGGAGAAAGGTTCTGGGAGCGTGTGATCACTTTAGATGTGCTGGGCAGATCTCAGTGCTCTGGTTCATTTGATTTCATAAGACTTCAGATTTCTCAACTATGTTGCAGTTGTGGGATAAAAAAGAACACAAGGAAAGGTTTGRGAAGCATCATAAACACCAATATAGTGATAATAAGTAGTAGATAAGTCTGGAAGGAACAAAGTAAAGTGGGTCATGGACCACAGAAAACAAATAGAAAAGCTGGAATACTAAAATTTGGACGGGATTTGGCTGATTCAAGTGGCACTTCTCTTTGAGAAGAGCTAGAAGTCTCTGCCTTTCCTCCTGTAGCTTTAGTGGTAGGTAGTGCCAGCTATTTTGGCATGGTTAGCAAGTTTCTGCCAAAAGCTTATGTCAGCAGTTCACTGGTAGAAGCATACAGATATAATCTTTTATTTGGTCCCCTTCTAATTCAAGCCTTTCTTCCGTATTTTCTGAGCAATTTTGGGTGATGGACCCTTAGTAGGTAACTGCAGGTTCGGGTTGGAAGAGACTTCTGCGGGTCATCTAATTCGAGCAGGGTCATCCACAGTATGCTGCCCAGTACAGCTCAAAAGGCTGCGCAGTGTTACCAAAGAGACTCTGAAGAAAAGCTGAGAAGAAGCTATTAAATCTCATGCTTCTTTGAAGGTGGTGTGACTTAGGATTTTTGGACTGTAAAGGATGTTGTAAAGTTTGTCACATAGAAGGATGTCTCATTTTGGATGATAATGGCACAAAATACTTGCTTTGCTGCTAATGCTTCTGTAAAATGTAATAGATCTTCCATTAGTAGCTGTCAACTGTTTTGGTGCTGGCAGATACAATGGTAGCCTGTTTTCAGCAGCTGAACAGCATTTCTCCTCTTTAGTGGTTTGTAAGAATGAGCTGTTTTCAGGAGAGTTTCTATTCTTACTAGCTGCTTTTATTAGAAGATGGRAAGCCTTCTGCACTTGAGAGGAGCAGTGTTATCAATGTGTGTTAATAAATATTTCTAGAGCATAAAGATGGTGTTTTATTTTCAATGGCAGTATACTTCTGGATCTAAAAAAAACCCCATATTCCTCTGCCTTCATCCATAGTATCAATTTTCAAAAAGCTACATGTAGAGAAAAGGAAAAATAGTTCTTGCCTCTTATGCTAGAAACAAGTGACTGTATTGTGATTAATGTCATTAGCACCACTAAATATCAAATGGTTATTCAGTTTATGATTTACAGTTATACGATGTACCCCACAACTGTATTGGTAGAAGACATTTGTGCATCTGGTATTTAAATGGAGCATGTGTTTTTGTTTTTGTGTGCGTGTGTGTTCTGGAGCATCAGTAAACATGGCTGTTAAAATTGTCATTTTAAAAATATGCTTTGTCCTGCTTTTGGAACATATTTAATCTTTTTCCCATTAATCTGCTTTCTCTAAACCTTTCCCTAATTCTTCTGAAGGATCCCCCCACCTGCTGTGCAGGCTATGCAACACAGTGAATCTAATCATGCCTGGAATTACCATCTTTTATCAGTTTAATCCATATTTTTCTGTTATTTGCTTTCCAAAGTCTTGAACATTTTATGTGCTGTGGTGAGTAATGGGGCAATTGTGAGGGTTAGTCTCTTTTTGAAAGGACAATGGCAAAACATCTGAGATAATGGATTATTTTCTGGAATGCAGTGTTAGCCTTCCATGTAAGTTAAGCCTGATCCTTAGATTTACTGAATTTATTTTAGAATTTTCGAAATGTAGATCAGTTGAGAAATAGTATCCCTGTATTTAACTGTTAAAGCAAACATTCTGAATAGTCCTGATTAACACTTGAGCATTCTTGATTGTGCACTCRGCACTCTGCTACCTCTCTGAATTTGTTGACATTTTTTTTCACATGAAGTCACATAATGTTCATTTTTTTTCTGGAAAGCCTTTATAAAAATCAGCTACAGATAAGACAGCAGCTGTTTTCTTTATGCTACAATTTGCTATTGTAAAATGTAGTATCAAGTATCTGAAGAAAGCACCATCTTAATTCAAATGAACAGGCACACTTTTCTGGAGTTCTACTTTTTGGGGAAGCTCATCTGAATTTAGTGCCCTAAAAAAGATGAAGGTGTGGTATCCAGTTCTTTTACTCCTTACTAGTGCTGTTCAGGGTCATTAGTTTGAAACTGGTACATGCGAGATCTTCATCTGATAGAAAGCAACTATTAGCAATACTGTGTATGAATTTGGCAGGGAATGTTTTAAAATAAATACACAAAATGCCTAGAAACAAATTAGATAACTTCATCTAGATAAGCCCTAAAGGAATAATGTCTGTGGAGGTGCCATCCTGCTGTGGGGAATTCATCCTTTCACTRGTGTCTATCTCAGGTAAGCTCTTTAGTCAGATCTGCTTTCCCTCTTCTGCTCCTTTACTTCACTCCCCCTTTCTATAACGCTGTGGGATGCAGAGCAACTGCTCTCCGCTTATCACCTACCTAAATGTGGATGTCTAGCACTGCCACCGTGGTAGGGCTGGTTTGTAAAAATGTAATTTAGCGGAATCCTTGCATAAACTAACAGATTGTAAGCCATTTGCAGAAGGCTATGATTTGTACTGWTTTCATTCAAGGCAGGACATTAGGGCTCCAGCTATATTTCATTATCCATTTGAATAACTTTTTTTTCAATTTAGAACTCTTTGTCTAACCATGAGCACTAAATTAATACTGGATTCTCTCTGCCTAGTGGGAACACTAAATAGATAAATAAAAATCATTGCAGAATAATTGTAGGTGCTGTGGGCTGAAAGCCAAAGCAGGCCAATTCAGCCTTTGAGCCCTGTCTGTCTGCCTTTTTTTCCTCTTTTTTCCTTTTTTTTTCCCCCTGCCCATCATAATAGGGTATTCAATTATAATCTTTTCTCTGTGTGCACAGTGGAGGTTTGCATACAGTGGCCCAGAGGCATTATTAATCTCAATGCATTTGGAGAGTGAGTGAAAAGACTAAAGGTTTAGGGAAAAATCTCTCCCCCCCCCGTAGCTGTATTTATCACTTAGGGTCTTTGTCAAAACGTAGTTTTCTTTCTCCCTTCCCCCGTTCCTTGGAGCATAAGCTGGAAATGACTCCAGAAGTTAGCGGACAATGGAAGCAGGGATTATGGAGCTTCATGGGCAAGATAGGGGCTGGGGGATGAAGGTAGGGGCCAGCTTCTGGCAGGATGGAGATCTGAGGTAGATGCACATGTTAGACGAGTGCTTACTACTACATAAGAAAATAGCAATAATGTAATTTATTTACATGGAGCTGTCTGGCCCCTGAAAAGAATATTCAAGAGTTCTTTCTAGAGCAGGGAAAGAGATAACTGGGTTTATTGTTAAAATTTATGGTTAGTGTCCAGAGCAAGTTCTTGGGGAAAAAAAGCTCACTTTTATTTTT